AAATAAATAAATAAATAAAATATTTACTACTTCTTCTCAGATATATGTAATACCATTTTATAGTATTAACAATATAATTATGTTTCCATGTGCACATATTACATAGTAATTCAGAGAATAATAATTTATATTTACTTACACTGGTGACATGAGTTACATTTTTGTCATAGTATTTTTTCTTCTCATATTTATCCCTGATGAAAAACTCCACAGCTCTGAGATCAGTTAGTTTAAGGAAAAGGCAAAAAAAAAAAAAAAAACAGAGAAGAGACAGAGAGAGATGTATGTACACATGCATCTGCGCAGATGTACGCACACAAAAAGCCACCATAAAGCAAAAGAGGTCTTCAATGCAAAAATTTTAATTTCCAGTTTATATTCTAAACAATAGTTCTAAAGCCAGAGCTGAACTGCTTCAAGCATTAGGATACATACTCAATTTTCATTAGTATTCTAGGATGTTGTATTCCATGCTTGATTTTGTAGCAGCACCTTTTAATACTTTCATAAATTTAATACAATTATTTTGATTCATGTGACAAATATTGCATCATATTTTCTCAATTTTTCTATTCAGATTGAATTTTAAAAATGGGGGTTCAATATTTTTTTCACTAATATAGTCTCACCTGCACTATATGCTTTATAAAACTAGTATTTCACTACTTGCCATCAAGGGGCTAGAATAAATTAGACTGCTTTTATAGTTCCAAACATATTCAGTAAATTTCACTAATGGAATTAGAATTTATGAAGGGTCTATAGCTTTATTCAGATTTCTTACTTATTGGATTCACTCCTTCTCAACATAACTGATTTGGGAAATTGGAGGGATGAGGGACAAAGCAGAAATACTCTGTACACTGCCCAGAGTCGCTTTGTGTGAGATGGTGGCTATATAAATGTGGTAAGCAAGCAAGCAAGCAAGCAAGCAAGCAAATAAATAAATACTGGCAGATGAGAAGGATGGAATTACAAGACAAGACAAAATTAGTTTGAGTTCCACCAATGTCATACAGTGTAAGTTATTCTGCATGATAAGACTTAAGTTTCCAAACCCTCCATTTCCAAAATTCATCACCATCACCACAGAAAGTTCTAATTCAGTATCAATATGCTAATTTTGGCTCCTTATTTTAAATAGGCCAGATGTACCACAGATATTCTTTAGTAGCTTTACACTAATACAATGGTATTTTTCCTATCTTAGTAGTCTTTAAGTAAATGCTATCTTTATCAAACTAAAATGGAAATAGTGTTTAAGTTTAAACTGCCTTCTAGGTTCTTTTAAAAATTTATTTTTACACCTTTGAGAATCTTGACATTTCTATTTGGCCACTGTGTAGCATACATGTATCCATTTTAAAATTTTTATCATAAATAACTACTCCAATTTTCCTCAAAAATGGAAATGCAAAAAAGGATACTGATCTGTTTGAGGTCTTCGAAAATTCTCTGGTAAATTAGCTTCATAAAGTAATCTTGCCTTGGTATTTCCCATCTCCTGCATGCACTAAAAGCAATGACAAAAAAAAAGTTCAATTTAGTTTAATGCATGTTAAGATAAACTTGTTGCTATAATAACCATTTTACATAAAAGTCATTATTATAAAGCAGAGTAGGACATATTCATGAGCAAGCATGTCAAAAAGCAATCTACAAAAGCATAAAATGTATAAATATTCAGGTTACTGCTTTTGCTGCTAATGATAATTCCCCTAATACGATAACAGTTATTGGAACTTTTTAATTGTCTTCTGCAAATATTATTACTGCGAATATTAGACTCTTTGCCCAGGCTGAGACATTCATGGTAGACAAAGCAGCCTCTCATTCCAAACTATCAATAAATATCCCCATGAGGTGGCAATGCAGGCAGAGAATCATATACAAAATGAGATCATCCCTCTATGGAGAGAGAAAAAATCTGGCTGTTTTAAAACTGTGGGCACAGCTCCAGAAGCTGTGAATCATGCTGGGAAAAGCATGGGACTAACTAAATTCATTATTTGTAGCTTCTGATTAAATTTTGGAATTTCCAAGAAGCTGGGAAGTCTAGGAGAATTAAAACACAGATGCTTTAGGTAGCACTATTTTTGTAGAAATAGTAACACATCTAGCTGGGAATTGCATATAGATTAATGGCTTGTTTTTATGCTAAATTGTTACTGTCCTATGTTCTTATTCCTTTGTACCAAATACTGAACTCTGCATAATGTCAGACTTTCTTCATACTAAGGCTGGGTATGAAGAAATTATTTTTATGTTATAATTTGAATCTCACTTCAGTCTCTTTACAAATTGCTTTTCTTTATTTTTGTTAGCCATCTTGTGGTCTACTTGGGGCACTGCATTTTCTTTTGTAAATTTCTTTTCAGGAGCTGTTATCCTGTGATCAGAATGATTTTGGTACTTTATCTATTTTACCACTTGTATTTCCATTTTAATATTTAAAGCTAAAAGGGGCTCTTATCTTTTATTCTCTTTTTCAATAGAGTTCAATTTTGTTTATCTCTTGTGAGATTGGTCTATCTCCCAAGGAAGGGCAGAATCCTTTAGTAACATGGATCTATGCTATCTGACTAGGAGGCTACGCTGCTGAAATTATTTCAACTCTTATAGCTTGAACTTTTAATCACCAGAAAGACAGCATAGGGCATGTGAGTGCTATCACTCTCATATACCAAGATTAGGAGGAAGAAGTCAGGTTTGGTATGACAGCAGCAGGAATTACCAAGACTGTGTCCAAAACAGAAGGCAAGGCCAGCATGTAAAGAGTCAGAGGGCTTCTTGGAGGCAAAGTCTGAGATTTCCAGCCTTCTCCATACAGGTAGTCCTCAACTTATGACCACAATTGGGACCAGAATTTCCATCGCTAAGCAATGCAGTTGTAAAGCGAGACATCACGTGACCATATTGCTTAACAATGGCAATTCTGGCACTCCCCATTGCAGTCATTAAGCAAAATCCACTGGTTGTTAGCTGAGGACCCATCCCAATCCAAGCCATTCTGGGCTTGGTCCATCCTAGTCTCTAGCCTCAGTAAGGTAAGGGACTGCCTCCAACTCCCCCCACCCACATATCTCCCCACCTGTACCCTTTTGGCTGCCCTGCACCCTGTCTTGCAGGGTGGCAAGCAGCCCCAGAACCATGTAGCTCTGGGGCTACTTGCCATGCCCTGGGAAACTGCAGCTGCCTGAGCACACTCCCAGCCATGGTCACCCTCACCACTCTGCACTTTGAGACCCCTGCCACCCTGTGCTCTGCCACCCAAACTGACCTTTGCTGTCTTCTTGCTCCCGCTGCTGATGAGGCAGGCCCTAGCCTGGCTGCTGGGCTGGCAAAAAGCAGCCCCAGAGCCGCAGCATGAAGTCCAGCTCCAGCCCGGCCCAGGAGCTTGGCACAAAGCCACACCCAGCACAGCACAGTCCCAGTCACCCTTGCCACCCTGCACTCCAAGGCCCCTGCCACCCTGTGCTCCACCACCCCAGCTGACCTTTGCCATCTTCTTGCTCCTGCTGCTGACGGGGTGTGCTCGGCCTGGCCCTTCACAAGGCAGCTGCTGGCCACGTGAGGCCATCTTCCACAGGTCTTGCAAGGAAACCGCTATGTGCGACCTGAGGAAGAAAGCCTCACGTGGCCAGCAGCTGCCTTGCGAAGGGCCAGGTCAGGCATGCCTCATCAGCAGTGGGGGCAAGAAGACAGCAAAGGTCATCTGGGGTGGCAGAGTGCAGGGTAGCAGGGAGCCAAAAGGGCATAGATTGGGGGGAGATAGGCGGGTGGGGGGAGCTGAAGCACCCCTGTGGTCGTAAGTGTGGGTAGGCTGCCAAGCACCTGAATTTTGATCATATGACTGTGGGGGCGCTGCAACACCCATAACTTCGGGGAGTGATTTTAAGTCCCTTCATTCAGTGCCGCCGTAATTTCAAATGATTGCTGAACAAATGATCTTAAATTAAGGACTACCTATATAGGCTCAGCCACCTACTACAACAATATGTAACAGTAGCAACATTTACAGAGGTTGGATGTTTTGAGCAAGAGAAACATTTAATGCTATAACATTCCTTTTAAATCTATTTCAGCAATTCATCAGTATTCTTATTTTAGCACATGCTTTAGAATTTGCTGATTTTATAACATAACTTAAAAATGTTTATTTTAAATATCTTTACTACTGTTAATCTCAGCTTTGTAAGTTTCATTTTAATAAGTGAATGAAGAATTCTACATATCAGAATTCTATTTTTTAAACTTTTCATGGGCGTAATAATGATTAAAATTGGTTTGTCAGGCTCAGTGAATTTTCAATATTGTGTGAAAGCTAAATAGCATAAAACAAATAATTCTAGGCTTTGATTATAAACATCTGCATAAATATCAAACCATATGGGAGTAAATAAGGATTATCTTATTGCATTTTATTCCTTCTGCTTACAAAAGGAATAATATACAATAGAACTGAAAATAGGGATAAACATTTTATAAAAAATATACAACAGAATTTACATAATAGAAAACGGGATAAACATTTTACAAAAAAATACAAGCTTGGAAACAAAACAAGATAATAAATAGTTCACATCTTTGAACATTAAAAACTGATGACATGTTTTACTACCAAGAACTTTATATTGCAAGTTTGAAAAATTGAATATTCAGACTCTAAAGTTCTCCAAATTTTCTAGAAGTAATTGACTACAGAATGGGCTTTTCTGACCTGCCAGAACACTTGGAACAGACCAATTTGAAGTGAGGTAACTTCTGGAATACTTGGAATGGCCTGGTATATGGACTGAACAACCTGTTTTGAGTCAGAACCTTTTGCATACCCTATCTCACCAAGACTGCTGGTATGTATAAGGTGCTACTAAGATTGGAAGGTACACTTCCATTTTGAACACATAAAATAACTTGTTGCAAGATGCAGTTTCCACATAGAAGTACATTCAAGAAATAATTATACCATTACCTAGAAAAATTCTGTTAGTTTTTTTATTTTTAAAACTCAGTGATCCATTTTATTAACAAATATTTTGAAACAAACTCTCCCAAAATTTCTCATAATACAACTTTTTTTAACCTGAATTTGTTCTGGTGTCCATTGGTCCAAATTGACAGACTTGACTCTGGATATATGCACCCCCAGATTTCGATGTATTCCAGCACATCTGATACAAATAAAGACACCTGTATTCCAGGAAGCCCATCGTGGACCTAAGAGAAATGTATGAAAATTAAACAACTGTATAATACTTAAGAGTATTTAAAAATATATACTTGGGGTATATTAAAAAAAAAAACAACTTGTTTTCAGCCGCCTCTAGATTAAGGGCAAGCAAACTGCAACGTGTGTAGAGTCCCCAGAGCACCCCTAGATCATATCATTGAAATTCAGCAGTATAATGCCCAAGTTGTAGCACTGTGAGATTTTGCTACTTTTATTATTTATTTCATCATTTTTATAACCCACCTCAATGTCTAACTTCTTGGCAGTGTGAAACAGGAAAAATACAAGATAAAAACAAAAGAAAGACATAATTAATATAAATCATGCATATGGCAACCAGAAAATTTTAATCCTGGTTAAGAGCATGGTACATCAGTGCTGTTTTAACAGCTTTATAAAATGTCAAGAGGGAAGGGGCTGCTTGAACCTCTGGAAGCAAGGAGTTCCAAATACATAGGCTACAAAAGCTATGGTCCACGTTCACCACACCTTAGGTAGAACAGGGACTCTGAGTAGGCTTTTTTGCTATGTTCTTGCCAGATTAGCATATTGAGACTTGGCAAGTTGGTGCCTAATGTAACCCAGTGCTATGCAATAATGGATCTTTGTAGGCCATCAACAAGCCTGATTGGCTTGGAAGCCAACTAGCAACTGGTGCAGTGGCTTTAGTACTGATGTTATTTGACAATGATGGGATTGTCCCCTCAACAATCTGGCTGCTAAATTTTGAAGCAGTTGCAGCTTCATTATACGTAATCCAACTCAGTACTGATTGAAGCATGAGATACTGCCACCAAGGCATCCTCGTCCAAATAGACAAGTGGCGTATCAGTCACAGCTGGGCAAAGCCATGCTTGGCTATGGCCTCTACTTGTTGCTTAAACAGTAGCCACAAGTCCAAGAGAACCCCTAGATCACAAATCAAGCCCATCAGGAGGAGTGCCACCATATCTAGAGTCTACAGATGCTGAAGTTCCTGGATTTTACTGACAAAAAGCAACTCAGTCTTGGATGGATTCCATGTAAGTTCATTTCATTTCGTCCAAATCCTGATAGCCTTGTCACAGTTCAAGCTTTCTGCAGCATCCCTGTTCCGGTCTAGGGTGGCAGCATACAATTAGGTAACATCCATGGCATTAAATGCTGTCCCGCCTGCCCCACAATTACAGACGGCAACTGCCCATTCAGGTAGAACAGAAAGATAGGACCCTGATTCCCAGCCCCTGTAGGCTGCCCAGGAAGGTACCATGCTTGATGGTTTCAAATGCTGCTGAGAAGTCTAACAAAACCAACAGGGTACACTCCTTGCATGGTCTAGATGGTCACTCCATGACTGGGTCTGAATCTTGACTGGCAAGAATCTAGAAAATCCATGTTTTCTAGGATTGTCTGTAGTTGTTAAGCCCTATGTGACTGGTAACCTAAGGAAACACTTGGATTTCTGGAAGTTCTTTATTGCTAGTAGGGCAATGTAAAAGAAATCTGAAAGCCTACCAAAAGTAATTCTCCCATACAATGTATACCTAGCATAATTAAGCTGGAGTTACTCTCTTTCTCATGCTTCCCCCTCCACTGGTCTCAAGAATCTTTTCTGCAACAGCCCTGCCCCCTCAGTGTTCCCATGGGTTTTCCATCACAGTTGCTCAGCCACTATCACCTTCTCAAAAACCATCCTTAAAATGTGTCAAAAATAGCTGGGTCAAAGGAGTGCTTCATCAAGGGAGAAAGGGACAGAGATATCTCTTTTAAAATAGATGGCATGATCCCCCCTTTCAAAAAAGCACTGAACATTTCCCAGTTCCAGCTGCTCACCCACTCCATCCTAGCTGCCTAATGGAGCCAGGGGGGACATGGATCAAGCCCACAAGTGGCATAACTCACATCACAGAGGATTTTATCCACTATCTTGGGCTTGGGAAGCCCAAATGAATCCCAGATAACAACATAAGACCCTGCTTTGCTCATCACAGTGGATTCCATCCAACTGGTATCCAGTCTTCAGCAAATAACAGTAACTTTATCTGCCAAGAAACTAACAAAATTATCTAGCCAGCTTTCAAGTGTCTTATTCCAGGCATCCTTCTCAAAAAAGGCCCAGGCAATTCTGAACAGGTCTGCCAGGTGGTAATCTGCAGACAATAAGCACAGTGAAGAACTCTGCTCTTATTGTCACTTTGTAGACAAAGACAAGCTCTTACAGTGCTCAGTTACATCCATTTTAGGTAATGCCACCAGCAGAAAGTGTTTAGGAAAAAAAAAGTTGTAATGAAATAAATGTAGAGATAAATATGTTAAGCCTCTATAAATGAAAGTGCATCCATTTCCACCCTGAAACCCCTCCAAGACTCCTAAAAATGCAAAAAAGGTCTTAAGATTTTCAGAACTGCCATCTGATGACATCATCCCATTTATGGGACACCTGCGAGGAAGGAAAGTGTTGCACTTAGGCAAAAATAAAAAATCCATCTTGACATAGATAGCCCACTTCCACATGTACTGCAGACAAGGATGAACTATTCATGGATTAAATGCAGCCCTAAATCCATCTCTCTGTCAAGATCCATTATAGACAAAATGCCACCAGAAACATTAGTTCAAATAGAAAGATTTAAGCTATCATGTGACTCTCTAGTAGAAAGGAGGTCTGTAGATGAAGGGTTGTCAAAACTGTACAAGTAGAAAATATATAGTCTGTTGGAAATTGTAGATGGCCTGTACATGTCTTGATTTTTTCCAAGCAACTTTGAAATCTTAATTCTGAATTTTTGACACTATTAACTATACTGAACACAGCAATGTTGAAGAATCTTGAATCAAAGCTGCAACATACAAAAGTTTCCATGTTACTAGCAAACAATTAAAAATTGTCCATTTCAAAACAAGGTAGCTTTTCTGTCTAACCCCCTAGCTATTTTTTTCTATAACTCTTTAGGGTTTACAGTTAATATGTGCAAAAGTTCTTCAGTCAGCACACTTCCCTGTTATTGATTTTTGTAAGCAGCTCTAGGAGCTTTCTTCAGCTGAAGAATGGGATAAATACTTCTGATGATTATGTTGTTATCCTGGTAGAGAGCTGCTTGTTTGGTTAAGGCAAACTTTCTATTCTCTCAAGTGGATTTTAAGAGGTTTATTCAGACATTGCTAGAACTGAAGTTGTTTATTTGTTTAAAGCATTTCTACCCATCAACCCAGAAGACTCCCAGAGAAGCTAACAGAACATTAATAAACCATAATACAAGATGTACTAAAACTTATAATTGAAATGACATGAGACAAAGGAAAAATGGGATAAGGAGAAAGGGGGAAAAAGCAACCACAAGACCAATTTTTAAAAATAAAACCGTTATGAGAAAAACCAAGGGATAAGACACCCAAAATGGAGCTGGTTTCTCTGCAGTCAAGCAGGGAGAACTATACTGAACCAGAGCACAAAATCAGAAACTAGATTCTCTACATCTTTAACTTACACTCAGCACCTGTGAGACTCAATTATCCATTAAATAGGAAAGGCAGTCACAGCAACATACTCAGACATGCAAGCTTCAAAAAGGAGCTCTGAGATAAAGCTGTGTGTCCAAGAATAGTTTATACTCATACCAGGTAAATGGTTATGTGCTGTCAGCATTATTCTCAGGCATTAGTGTGACTTTGTGATGTATTAAATGTGGAACTCAGACCACAGGAACATTTGTATTACTACTGTTGTCTTCATGGGGTACTCAATGGAGCACTGGTGGAAAAGGCAGCTAATAAGACTGTTCTCTTTGTGGCCTGGGCCATGTTACCTGTCAATGCAGCTGCAGACCAGTCCTTGTAGCAATGAGTTATGTATAAAAGACTCCTATTGCTAGGAAAAAAAAAGCTCACAGAATGAGATAAAGAGGTAGTCTGACCAATGTCAGTCCTTGATCCTTTTGAGGTAGAATTTGCTGGCTCCCCAAATGGTCAACTTGTCCCACTAGTATCTCTAGGGTTATGGCTGGATGTGGGCAGAACAGACATATATTTGAGTCTGGTGGAAGACGGAGTTTCATGCAGAAAGATCACATCGAGTTTATCCCTGACTGATCAAGCTGCTAATTAAAGTTATGGTTATATGGAGTATTTTAAGTGGAGAAGTTTAAAAAGTAGACACGCAAGCTTTTAAGATCAGGTGGAAGTCCCTGGAAGGAAATGAGAAGAGTTACTATGAATAGGTAGAGGCTTCAGAAGGTAGCTCCATGCAGGAAGTTCTTGACATGTGACTGTGCAGAGACAGATGATCCCAGGGAATCTGAAAGTACTGAAGTATTGGGATCTGGCACCTTAATTTGTTGGGTTGCAGGACCTGCTTCCAAAAAAGCTGTACCTGAAGAACTGCAGCCATTATATATCATATCCTCTTCCTCTTATTCCACTGGCAGAAACTGTGTCAGTAAAGTGAGAGGAAGATTAGATCTATTGTGGCTCCAAAATCATTTCCTGATAGTACAGATACTGTAGAGGAAAGAAATAGCTCTACTCCTGAATGATATAGAAGACTAGACCTTGGATGGCACTGGATAGCTGACTAGATGTTATATCTACCCTACAGCCTAAAGAGAAAAGCATTATCTTGGCAGCCCAGATATTGAAATCTCAGGAACCTCTGGTGGGAGAGGTGAATGGGTATGTACAAATATGCCTCCTGTATGTCAAGGAAGCTTAGCTAGTCTCTAGATTGAAAGTAATCTAGGATATTTGAGGGACTTGTTCTCATTGGTTATATCTACCCGTCCCATTAGATCCAGCAGGAGAGGCATGTGATGGGTCCCATCTACTAAGGAATGTCATCTGATAGAACCCAGGAAGAGAGCCTTTTCTGTCATGGCACCCACCTTTTGGAACATCATTGCCCCAGAATTTAGATTGCCACCTATTTTTCTGGCCTTTACAAAGGGTCTGAAGACTTGGCTTTGCCATCTTGGCTGGGGATCCATTAGTAGTAGTGTGGAGCCTGCTAAATGGC